AAGTCAGTGTTTGTTTCATCATTCAATGTCCAGTTTCTTCATTCGTGTTCACTTCCTAAGAATCAAAACGCAGTTTCCGTCACCAGCAGAATCAGAGGCTGGGGCAAGAAGTCAGCCTACGGAAGGTATTCAAATTCGTAGGTGATTTTTATTTAATTTCCGCAATCGGCTGAGTATGATATCATTTTGACATTCCAGACAAAATAAAAAGCGCTGGCTGTTGATTCTTGCCTTTATCGAACTATTCACTTTTACATGAACGTTGTCAATGAAACCTGGTCTTGTGTCTGTTCTTAATACGCATATGACTTACTTTTAGTGCTTTGGCTAACGCTTTTAAAGTTAATAATCAACCAGTCATTTAGGGGTACGTCACGCAATCGGTGAAAGGAGATCGTTAACATTCTCACTGCATAAGTGTTACTCAGTACACGTCAAATAAGTAGATTAAGTGCTTTCACATATACTGATTAGCTAGCTTATATGCGATTTAAATACTATTTACATCTGTGGCAAACAACTGGCAAAATTTCCTCATGTGAAAGTCTCAGTCCTGGTCCCTGAAGGTTCGTGTGATGAATTGGAAAGAGATATGCTGAACGTTGTAATGTTGCAATTGTTGATTAAAGAGAGCAACCTGGATTTAAAGATCGCAATGACTGGCTGTACTTCCCACCAAAAGGTCTCACTATAGACATTGTAATTAGCAATGTAATAACATTGTAGGGAGAATTCATGAGTTAATACCTTCCTTCCAAGGTGGGCACAGTTTCTATCGCTCTGACGAAGGGCTAGCGCTCGAAACGTCAGCTTTTTACCCTTCACGGTGGCTTATTTACGTTTCCAACTCAGTTGTTAACACTAAATTACCTGCTATTCTCTCTCACCGACGCAGCACCACAGTTCCTTTGGAAACTTACCCCGTATATACAGTTTGATAAGCTTCTTTTAAAGAAATGCCATTGAATTACTTCATAACACATCTCTTTCCAATTTTACTCACTGATCTGAATTTGTAATTTTTTTTCGCTGACATCAAAACAAACGCAGCCGCATGA